CCCTACGCCAGACACTCCCCCACCGTTAGCCAAAAGCCCACCCTTGGAGCCTGAAACCCTGGGTCAGGAATGTGTCTTCATCAGGTTGCCCTTGGCTGGGGACTGCAGTCTGTCCTGAGAGCCCCCTGGCCTTGGAGGAGGGGATCAAAAGAGTTTTGAGCTATTTATTCTTTTTGCTTTTTGGGTCACACCTGGCAATGCTCAGGGCTGACTCCTGGCTCTGCACTCAGGAATTACTCCTAGTGATGCCCAGGGGACCATATGGGATGCTGGGAATCGAACCCGGGTCAGCCACGTGCAAGGCGAACGGCCCTACCCGCTGTGCTATCGCTCCAGCCCCAGTTTTGAGCTATTGAAAAGGCCGGGGAGACCGAGTGCCGCTTCTTCTCATCCCAGAGCCGACAGAAAGCGCCTGAAGAAGCAGCCCAAGGCAAGGGAGGCTCCGGTTCTGTCGCTCTGTCAGGATTGGGAGGACGCTCGTCCTCCACTCAGAGCTGCCCTCAGGAGGAGCTGGGATGTGGAGCAGCGTCGCAGACACAGTCCAGGGCACTTGAAGCCCGCCAGGCGTGTTCGAGACCGGACCTGGGCTCGCGTGGACCTGCGCGTTTCTGTGAGGTGGACGTGGGGGGGGGGGTCTCAGGCCCGGCCTGGGGAGCGTCAGGCAGCTGTGCTGCCCCCGAATGAAACGGGCCCTGCTCAGGCGGGGGTCTCTGCGCGGGAGGCTCCCCCTCCCGAAGGAGTGGACCGGTTCCTGTGGATTCACCCCAAGCCACAGCTCCTTGAGCGTCTCCCGTCGCCTGTGTCCGCGGCCTCTTAAGTGACGGCGTGGCTTGCTGTGGCGGGAGCGTGTGCGCCGACAGACACTCGGGACAAGGCGGGGTCTGCGCGAGCCGGACCATCAGCAACGTTCCTGAGACACCGACACCTACAGAGCAGGCGCGTGGGCGGCTGAGGCGGGGCGAGCGCCAGCACGTGCTCATTTGGGGGCGGGGCAAGTGCAGCACGTGCTTATTTGGGGGCGGGGGGGGGGGCAAGTGCAGCACGTGCTTATTTGGGGGCGGGGCGAGTGCCAGCACATGCTCATTTGGGGGCAGGGCGAGTGCCAGCACGTGCTACCTTGGGGGCGGGGCGAGGGCCGGCACGTGCTCATTTAGGGGGCAGGGCGAGTGCCAGCACGTGCTACCTTGGGGGCGGGGCGAGTGCAGCACGTGCTACCTTGGGGGCGGAGCGAGTGCCGGCACGTGCTCATTTGGGGCGGGGCGAGTTGCCGGCACGTGCTCGTGTGAGGCTGAGGCCTGAGCGCCTGTGCTGATAGCTGCTTGTGTGTGGGTGGGCGAACCTGTGCCAGTGTCCACGTATGGGGGGGTGAAGCGGGGTGAACCTGTGTCAGCGCATCCTTGTGCTCGGCTGAGGCTGTCGGGCAAGCCTGTTCCTGAATGTCCCCGGGTGTAGCTGTAGCACTAGTAGCACTGTCCTCCCGTTGTTCATTGATTTGCTCCAACGGGCACCAGTAACATCTCACAATAAGTTGTGAGACCTGTTGTTTCAGTGTTTGGCATATCCAGTACATCACCGGGAGCTTGCCAGGCTTTGCTGTGCGGGCGAGATACTCTCTGTAGCTTGCCGGGCTCTCTGAACGAGAAGGGGGAGTCGAACCCCAGTTGGCTGCCATGCAAGGCAAACGCCCTACCGGCTGTGCTATCGCTCCAGCCCCAGTGTGTAGCTGAGATGAGGGAAACTGCTGGCACGTGCTCCTGTGCGGCTGGGGTGGGATGAGACTGTGCCCCGTGTCCTCGTGTGTGGGTGACGCTGGCTCGTGCTAGTGGGCGCCTGAGGTGGGTGAGAGACCACGCCAGCAGGTCCACGCGTGCGAGTGAGGCGTGGGTGCGATGATGCTGGCCTTAGAGAACGGCAGCATGTCTGCGACGTTGCACAGTTGGGAAGAGCGACTCAACTCTGTGCTTTGGCAGGGCCAGGCTGGTGTGCGAATGGTATCGGGGTTAATTTATTTTGTTTTTGAGGCCACAGCCAGCTGTGCTCAGGGCTGACTCCAGACTCTGTGTTCAGGGGTCATATCTGGTAGGTCTTTGAGGACCACATGGGATGTGGGGGATTGAACCCACATAAGGTCTTACCCCCACTGAGCTCTTTCTGGCATCCTATCATCTCATTAAAATAACAAGAACAACACTACCCATGGGGATGGAGAGAGAGTACAAGGAGGGTGTTTGCCTTGCACAAAGACAAGGGTTCGATCCCTGGGACTCCATATGGTTCCCTGAAGCCCACTGGGAGTGATCCCTGTGTACACAGGCAGGAGTGAGTCCTGTACACCGCCAGGTGTGGCCCCCAAACAAGCAACTCCACTGCCAGGGGACTGTGGGTGTGCCGAGGTTCTTAGAAGCTCTCCGAAAATTGGTGGCAGCTGGGAACCGCTTACCCTCTGGGCCAACAGTGTGAGCACGGTGTGTGGGTGCTGAACCTGTCACCCTGTCCACGAGGCTCAGAGGAAACAGGATTTGCAGCCCAGCCTCAGACACGGCCTGGTTTTCGGGGCAGCCCTTTTAGCAAATTCCCCTAAAAAGAACCTTTGTGTGTGTCACAGTGTCTGTGCTATCTCGGACGCAGGCCAGCAAGCGAGCCATAATCTTTTTCATCTGAGAGATGGGGTGCTCTCTCTGCTCCAGCCTCAAGGCAGGTTCGAGCACGCGGGGAGCTGGGGGGGACACCCCACATCCTGGGGGCAGACCCGGCCTTCCTGAAGACGGAATTTGCAGTGGCCTCCCCCCCTCCCCCCAGCTGGCTGGCTGTGCCCCCATCCTCTCTTGCCTGTCCCTGGGCTTCTGGCAGAGTAAAGGGAGCAACAGGGGCTGGCAGGAGAGGCAGGTGGGTCTGTGAAGGCATCTCTGCCAGTGTGTGCAGCTCCGCAGGTGCTGACAGGCCCGTGGGGAGGGTGATCGTGTGGAAGACCCTGTTAACACCCTCCTGGCATCCCAGCTCTGGAGTGAGCAGGCTGGGACTTCCCATCCCACCGGGAGTCAGTGCCCACTTCCTCCCGGGAACCTTTGCTTGGCTTGGATAAGCGGCAGCCCACCCCACAGAGCTGTTGCTAACACGCTTGGGGGGGTCTCCATTGCATCCCACCCACTGCCCTTCCCCACCTCTGTGCCTGCCATTGGGAACCGCCCTGTCTGGGGAAGCCCGGGGAGCCCCACCCTCCACGTGCTTTCCCATCCTCTTTTCTTCACCCTGGAAGGTCATGGTCACGGTCACATTCACATCCCTGGGAGATTCTGTGGTGGGAACGGGGGTGTGTCTGTCTGCACCCTGGGGGTCACCCCTGAACTGCAAGGCTGTTAAGAGCAGCGGTTGTCACTTGAGGTGACACTTGACCCTCCTGCCCAGTTTGTGACTCTTCCACCTGCCCCACTGTTCAGGGCTCAGTTTCTACCAGACCTCCTGCCTGGAGCTGCAGTGTGCCTGCCCCAAGGAAGCTACGAAGAAAAAGAAATTTTTTAAAAAATTTTTATTAGTGAGACACTAATCTCACTATCACTGGAGCGATAGCACAGCGATAGCACAGCAGTAGGGCGTCTGCCTTGCACGCAGCCAACATGGCCGACCCGAGTTCGATTCCTCCGCCCCTCTCGGAGAGCCCGGCAAGCTACCGAGAGTATTCGATATGCCAGACACAGTAACAACAAAGTCTGCAATGGAGACGTTACTGGGCCCGCTCGAGCAAATCGACGATCAACGGGGGGGCCTTTACCTTTACCTTAGTGAGACACCATGAGGTACAGTTGTAGACTTACAAATTTTTGTGCTTGGGTTTCAGTTGTACAATGACCAAGTACCCATCCCTCCACCAGTGCCATTCTCCACCACCACGGATCCCAGTATCCCTCCCACTCCCCATCCCCCCCCCATCCCACCCTGCCTCTATGGCAGGGCATTCCCTTTTGTTCTCTCTCTCTCTTATTGGGTGTTGTGGTTTGCAAAAAGGCAATGGGTGACAATCATGTTTGGTCTGTAGTCTACTTTCAGCATGCTTCTTCCATCCTGGGAGGATCCTCCCAACACCCTTTATTTGGTGCTCCCTTCTCTATCTGGTAAAGGCAAGGTAAAGGTAAAGGCCCTCCCGTTGATCGTCGATTTGCTCGAGCGGGGCCCAGTAACGTCTCCATTGGAGACTTTGTTGTTACTGTGTCTGGCATATCGAATACTCTCGGTAGCTTGCCGGGCTCTCCGATTCTCTATCTGAGAAAGAAATTTTTCTGCATGAACTGATAAGCATCAGCGGGGTTGTGTGTGTGGGGTGGACACGGTGTTCTGTTTTGTCTTACCTACGCAGGCAGGTTCAGAAGTGGCTCTTTGTTATTCGGATCCTGCCAAAAGGAAGTGACACAGGGGCTTATGCAGCAGGAGGTGGTGTAGCTGCCGGCAGGGGGTAGGGACCCCGGCTGGCTGCAAGCCTGACCACTTCCTCGACACCCTGAAAATCCTCAAGTTAAAATGCTCAAAGGGAAGTCGCGGTAAAGATAATGTTGAAATCAGATGTGGCACCCTCTGGTATAAGATCTATGTTAGGGGCCACCTGAGGGGGTCCCCCTACCTCATTCCAATCAGAGCTGACCATGTTTCTTGTCCACTGCGTGGCTACACTGAACTCAAACCCATGGCACGTGTGGCTTGGGGAAAGAGATTTTTTCAACCTTCCCTGGACCCTTTGTTGTTTCTCTGTAACCCATCACAGCCCCGGAGCGTGACTGACATCACCTTCTAGCTCTTAGCTGGACTTTTCACCCCACCAACAGTTTGATTCTTTGTTCACTTTGACAGGCCGTGGGCAAGTATCAGACAGGCATTTGGGGGAGCAGGATGATTTCAGGCTCCAGGACTGGCCATGGAGCTGACGCCTCTCAGAGACCCACCGGGTCGAGGCCCGCTCTGTTGAGAAAGCCCTTGTGCACGCTCTCTCTCTAACGTCCGCTTTCTTTCAGCTGACGCCCGCGTGCTCCAGAGAGAGGCAGTACGAGCACCTCGGACGGTGCTGTGACAAGTGCCAGCCCGGTACGTTCTCCCAGCCTCTCACTATCGCCACCAGCAACTTTCCTGCTTGTATTATCTAAGAATGGTTTCTTTCCTGTCAGGTGGAAAGAGAAATTGCTTTTACTCTGGATTGCGGGGGAGGGGGGGGAGGGGAGGGGACCAGGTTATGATTTCTGTCATTCTGAAGGTGGAAATCTCTCAGTAGGTTACATCACTTAAAAATAAGAAAGCGGGGAGTGGGCCAGGCACACTGGTCTGGGTGCCCTCAGGAGCAGTTCCTGAGCACAGAGCCAAGTGTGGCTCATATCCTCACCCCGTACCCGAAGGAGAAAGATGAAAGCGAGGGCAGAGAGATTGTACAGGCTAAGGCACTTGCCTTGCATGCAGCTTGGTTCACTGCAGCGTGGCACAGTGTCCCTAGGGTCCTTCTGGAGCTCACTCGTAGGCCAGGAATGGCCTCTGAGGCTCCCTATGTGGTCCAAAAACAAACGCCAGACTTCAGAAACTAGTTCTTTTGTGGGGCTGAGGAGGGAGTGTTGCATGCCTAGCAGTTCTCAGGAGTCTTTCTGGCACAGTGCTCAGGGAGCCACACAGTGCCAGGGATAGAACCATGGCTGGCTGCGTGCAAGACAAGTGTCTTAACTCCCTATCCCACCTCTCTTGCCGAAGGAATTGGTTCTTTTCCGTTTTTCTTTTATAGTTTAGGCTCCAATAACTATGGTGACAATAGCACTAACACAGAGATAGTCCTAAGAGTTCATTTTGGGACACAGTTCTCTGAAACATGATTTCATAACATGCCAAGCTGTTGAAAACCATCTTTTATCACTTTGTGATTGAAAACTCAAAATACAAAGCTGTAATTCATATTTTAAAACGTCTCTCTTCACAGGATGGGGGATGGCGGGTAACAGTTGAACTTACTATTGCCGAGAAGTGCCTGGCACATTCTCCCTGGTCCCAGGCCAGACCTCAGTGTCCCCTCACTCACTGTTGGACAGGAGGGTGTCTTTGAGGAAAGGCTTTTTCAAGAGCTTGTACAAACTTTAAGTAAAGTTTCAAATAATTATTCATGTATAGGGTAAGACCTTGTGTGTGTGTGTGTGTGTGTGTGTGTGTGAGAGAGAGAGAGAGAGAGAGAGAGAGAGAGAGAGAGAGAGAGAGAGAGACAGACAGAGAGACAGAGAGACAGAGAGAGAGTCTATAGCCTGCAGTATATGTAGCACAAATGAAGTTAACTACTCGGGCTGGAGAGAGAGCACAGCAGATAGGGCACTTACCTTGCCCTTGCTGGCCAAGGTTCGATCCCCAGCACTACTTATGGTCCCTCGAGCAGTACCACGAGTGATCCCTGAATGTAGAGCCTGGAGTAAGACCTGAGCACAGCCAGGTGTGGCTTCCAAACCAAAACAAAGGAAGGTTAACTGCGGAGATGGTCACTAGAGGGGTGCTTTGGTGGTGGGGGTGGGTGCAGGACATCCCCTGGCTCAGCTGACTCTTCAAGTTCTGCAGCCACCAGAGGGGAAAGGCCGTCAGCAGGGGTCTGGGTGGGCAGCGTGATCTCGGACGCAGAAACAGTGGAGGCAGCGTGGGCACGGGCGTCTCGGCCGTGGGGTCTCTCCTCTCCCCTCCGGCCTCGGGGCCTACCTGGGGTCAGGGTGTGGGCTGGGGGCCGGTAGATGGGCCCCTCCTGCTGTGTTGCAGTACTGTTTGTCCATCTATGTTTTTATCGGTGCCTTTCCCCCTCTGCCATGGAAGGAACATACTTGGCTGCCAAGTGCTCGGCCACGTCAGAGAGCGTCTGCTTGCCCTGTGGCCCGGAGGAGTACCTGGACACCTGGAACGAAGAGGAGAAGTGTTTGCTGCACAAAGTGTGTGATTCAGGTGAGTTGGGGTGCTGGGGTGTGTGTGTGTGTGTGTAAGGGAAGAGAAAGATGGTCACCCTCTGGTGTGTGTGTGTGTGTGTGTGTGTGAGAGAGAGAGAGAGAGAGAGGGAGAGAGAGAGAGAGAGAGAGAGAGAGAGAGAAAGAGAGAGATGTCGCCCTCTGGGGGGTGTGTGTGAGAGAGGGAGATGTCACCCTGTGATGTGTGTGTATGTGTATGTGATGTCACCCTCTGGGGTGTGTGTATATGTGTATATGAGAGAGAGATGTCACCCTGTGGTGTGTGTGTGTGTGTCTGTGTGTGATGTCACCCTCTGGGGTGTGGGTGTGTGTGAGCGAGAGATGCCTTTTTGGGGGGTGAGGAGGGTTGTTTGACCACAGCCCCACCAAGGATGTGACCGGGAGCCCAGAGCACGGTGGGAAAACCTCCCAGAGGGGCCGGGAACCATGGCCAAGTAGCTCAGCCTGAGTTTTGCCTGTGGTCAATCAACCTTCCGTTCCTGGCATGGCTGGGAGCAGCCTCCGAGCACTCACAGCGAGTCATCCCCGAGCACTTCCGGGTGTGGCTCAAAGCAAAGGAGAAGGAGCAAACTCTGTGAAGAACTCACAGAGTATCCCCGGAGGCTGTCCAGCGATGGCTCTTTGAGGACTGGTTCCCACAGTGGCCCAGTTTGTCACCATGAGCTGTCCCGAGCCTGGGAGAGGCAGGGACCGGCCCTGCAGAAGCCACAGACGCAGGCTCCAGGCCAGGCCTCCTGACCCCCGACTTCCCCTCACCTGGGGAGGTTTTAGCAACTGCAGTTCGGTCACGTTCTCGGACGCCTCTAGTTGTGGAGGGCTCAAGTGGTTTCTGTCTCGTTTTGCTTTAGGGGGGCCCCCCACTCAGCTGTGCTCAGGGCGCACTCCTGGCAGGGCTTGGCCATTCTGGGGAGCAAACAGGGCGGGTTGCTTGCAGGGCAAGGCCCTTCCTTACCCCCTGTGCTATCTCTGCAGCCCCGCAAATGTCTTGTAGTCCTAGCTTATTTGCAGGGATCAGGACGAGAGTGTCGCTGTTCTCCTCCGGTGCCTGTCACGTCCCTGTCCTCTCTCCGGGACTTGTGGCGTTGCACCCAGACTTCCCCTGAGCCCTGGGGCTGGGCTGCCTTTGGGGTCATTTACTGGGGGCTTCCAGCTCCTGCACTGCCTGTCACAGGAATGCTGGAGGGCTGCAGTGACAGTCCAGTGGGCAGGGCTGACCGGTTCCATCCCAGACCCACCAGGAGCCATCTCTGAGTGCAGAGCCAGGTGGCCCTGCCAACACAAACAAAGTGTGTGTTGGGTGTGTTGGGTCTTGGGGGTTGATTGGACTCTGCTTTGTGTGGGGTGGTCTGGGCACACTTCATCAGCGCTGTCCTCCTGGAGCTCTGCCAGGCCCTCTGCCAGCAGCTACTCTGCCCGTGATCCTGGCTGCATCTTCCTCAGGTGGCAGAAAGCCAGTGCTCCAGCCGTCCTTCACGTATTTGTCAAGAGCTGGGTCGAGAGACACCAGCCCATCAGCTGGTTCTTGCCCTCGAGGACAGTCTAGCCAGGAAAGGCAGAGTGAATTCTCAAGACTTTATTATTTGGGGGTGGGGAGGTAGGGGTGAGGGACACAACCGATGATGCTAGGGAGCTGCTCCTGGCTCAGTGCTCAGGGATGCTTCTGGCAGAGCTCAGAGGACCATGTGGCACCAGGGATCGAACCTGAGGCTCCCACATGCAAAACCTTGTTCACAGCTTGATGAGTGATCTCCCGGCCCTTGTAACTTATTCTCCTTGTCGAAAGTACTCATTCTCTCACTGAGTCGAAGGACTGGCAGAATGATAAACTCACACGTGTGGGTGAGTTGAGGCTGGCTTCATCTAACGCAGAAGTTACTGGTTCTCAGACTGTCCCACCTCGCCCAGGTGGCCACCCAGGCTTCTGCTGTGACGACTGCAGGCGTCACTGAGCTCTCTTGCTCCCAGCTCATCTTGTTCATTGCCTGTGCTGACTCTGGAATCGGACTTCTTCTCCACGAATCCCTACTTGCTTTCTGCGGGGGACGCCTATGTTTAGTGACCCTCGTCTGGGTATTCGGGAGCCCCGTGGCTGCTGAACTCGGCGGAAGAACTAGCAGAGCTGGATGTAATTTGTTCATTTTTTTAAGTCACACCTGCCAGTACTCAGGGCTTACTCCTGGCTCTGTGCTCAGGAATCACTCTTGGCAGTACTTGGGGCTGTATGTGGTGCCAGGGGTCAAACCAGGGTCTGTCATGTGTCATTACCAGCTGGACTATCTCTCCAGCCCCCACAGAGCTGTATATTTGAACTATCCTTTTTCTCAGATGTTCGAGACAGCAGAGTTTGGCGGGAGGAGGTAGCGTGGAAATGGCTCCCAGCGAGCGGCATCTGATTAAGTGTTATTTCTTTCCTACTGCTTACTAATGGGCTTGACTCATCCTGTCTGCTGGAAATAAAGATGCATTCTGTCTACTGCCAAAATTGATTAAAGCCCAAAGCCCCGGAGCACGAAGATATTTAAAAATATGTCACCATTGTTCATCATCACACTGGCCCACGGTCACTCACATTGGGGCGGAATACTGGGATTCGGATTTTCCAAGGAAGTGACCCTGGTCTGGAAGGTTCCAGGCAGGAGGTCCATGTTTATGCAAATTGGCCTGAGGCTGCGGAGCGGTGGGTGCCTGGGAGAAGAGAGACTTTCCTGGTTGGCTGGACAGAGACGCTGAAAGATGAACTGCTTCCCATTAGCCTAGTCAGCCGAGGCTGCTCTCCAGAGCCCCTGAGATGCCCAAGCAGCTCTGCAGCCTGAGTCAGCGGTACGAATGGCTCTTGGGCGGCCCTTAATTGTGGGGTCTCCGCAGAGAGGAAGCTGGGCCCTGCTGTCTCTCCTTAGAAGGCCATGAGTCTCGGGCTGGAGAGAGTGCAGTGGGTAGGGCTCTTGGTTTGCATGCGGGAGACCCTGGTTCAGTCCCCGGCATCCCATAGGGTCCCCTGAACACTGCCAGGGTGATCCCTGAGTGCAGAGCCAGGAGCAAGTCCTGAGCACTGCCAGGTGGCCCAAAAACAAAAAAAAAAATTGCGGATATGAATCAGTGAGTAAAGAGGAGTGTGTGTGTGTGTGTGTGTGTGTGTGTGTGTGAACCTTCATCTCTGTTCAACATGATCTCAATAGTGGCATGAGATCAGGGCTCAGAAGGAAAGCCCTAGGCTAGGTACTGTGAGAAGACAGACACGATTTGTCCTCCTACCTGGGGACAGAGGACTCGGCCCACAGTGCTCTGCCCCTGCACTCTGTTGCTGACCAGAAGCACAGTGATTGCGCTTCTTGTAGCCCTGCAGTTCTCACGATGAACCCATATCCCCAGAAACCCTGTTCTGAGGTGCAGAACCTTGCTACGCCAGAATGCTCTAAGCTGGAAAGGGCAGTGGAGGCAGACTGCTTTGCACTGACTGGAACAGCTGGCCGTCAGGGACTGGGCCGTCCTCTGTCTCCCTCCCAAGACAGAAAAGACCCGGAACCCCCCGGGGTGCTTGAGCGCCAGCACGGGATGCCTGAGGGGGAACTTGGGAGTCCCTGAACCCCAGTATCCTGCATGAGTCAGCCGTGGGGAAGTGGGGTGGCCTGGGAGGTGGTGAGACTGTGAAACGGCACGGCAGGTGGGATATGGCACAGGGACAGGTGGCAGGGGTGGGAGGGGCCAAGATTTCAGCAGTTGACAGGAGGGGAAGGTTTCAGGGGTATGGGATGATGGGTGGGTCAGGGGGAAGATGGCACAGCACAGGGGAAGAGGGCAGCGGTGGGTACTGCTGGGGAGTGGCCCGGGGGCAGGGGCTAGGCGGGGTCATGGTCGGGGCACCCGGTGCGCACAATGCTGGGCATCCGTCCACTGCAGCCTCCCCCGTCTCTTGCTGCAGGGAAAGCCCTGGTGGCGGTGAATCCCGGCAACCAGACGGCCCCACGGCTCTGCACCTGCACCGCCGGCTACCACTGGAGCCAGGACTGCGCCTGCTGCCGCCGGAACACCGAGTGTGCCCCCGGCTTCGGGGCCCAGCCCCAGGGTATGCAGAATGGAGGTGCCTGGGGCCACAGACCTCTTCGGGCCAACACCCCCCCCCCCCCCCGCCCCAACCCATTCACTTCTGACCCCCCCCCCCAGGCCCAGCCCCTCCTTAGCTCTCAGACCCTGTCCATTTCTCCGTCCATGTAGGGGACCAGGGAATCCAGACAGTTTGGTTGGGATTTTTACCTTGTGCCTCTCCCCATGCTTTTTTTGGGGGGGGTCTGCATTTGGGGGCCACACCCCATTCTTCGTACTCCTAGCTCAGGGATCCCTCCTGGGGGTGCTCGGAGCCCTGTGCTGGAGTTTGAACCCAGGTCGGCATGTGCAAGGCAAGAGCCCGGCCTGCTGTACACACGCTCTGAAGTCGACACCTGGGGTGTCGGGGGGAGGGCGAATGGTGGGAGGGAGGATGGTGTCCGGGGACCGGCCCACGACCTCACACACGCAAGTCAGTCGCCGTGCTCTCCCACTTGCATCCCATCCCACTGCTCAGGGATTTCATCGCAGATTTGCAGAGTTCCCACGGACTTAGTTTCCAGGGAATTAAAGGATTTATAACTGCAATCGCAGAAGATTTAATGGGACCTAAACGTCTTTGCAAGCTGATACCCTTCAGGCTCTATTTGAAAATCTACTCATCATCTTTAACTACTGGAAACTATTGGAGGTGGTTCTTTAGGAGGGGGGCGGGGATGCTGATTCCCACCCAGCTGTGCTCAGAGCTTACTCCTGGCTCTGTGCTCAGGGCTCACTCCTGGCTTGGGGCTGGCTCACTCCTGATGTTCAGGGATCACTCCTGACTCTGCTCAGGGCTCACTTCTGCTAGGCCTGGGATAACTGTATATGGTGCCTGGGACAGAACCCACGTCAGCTGCGTGCAAGGCAAGCACCTTATCCCTGTGCTCTCTCTGGACACTGTATGTGGCTCTCTTTCCTCTCCTTTGATTTTCATCCACGTCACCTTCCCCACAGGAGTTTTATCCTAATGGGTTGTTCTAGTTGAAGAGCTTTAATCACCCTCTCATCCTCTCATGTAAGAAATAAGCATCTATTTGTATCATCATTTTTAGGATGTTTCCTGTGACTTAAGTTTCCAACAGTCACAAACCTTTGCTCTGGGTGACAATGTCACTCGGATCACTGGGGCTGACCGTCACATGCGCCTGCCTGTGTGTGTGTGTGTCATCCTGTGTGTATATACACAGGCTGAGGGCTGTCTCAGAGCAGAGGCCTCACATGTGTGAGGCCGTGGGTTTCATCCCTGGCCTCCCTGGCCTCCTGAGATACACAGAATATATTGCATTTATGTGTATCTCTGTATCACTGTCCTCCCGTTGTCCTTCGGTTTACTCGAGTGGGTGCCAGTAACATCTCTATTCCTCCCAGCCTCGAGATTCTAGCAGCCCCTTTCTTCTTACTCGTCTTTTCCCAATGACTGGAGGCTCTTTCAGGGTCAGGGGAATGAGACCTATCGTTGTTACTGTATTTGGCTTATCGAATACACCACGGGAGCTTGCCAGGCTCTTGCAGGCATTTATATGTAATGATCCATATTAACGCATGAATGAAAAAGGGTAAGCATTTAAACTGCAGGAGATCAGAATTCCTTTCCCCAGCTGGTTCCTATGTTCGTGCAGGGAATTTGCCGCCTGCGAAAGTGCAGCAGGCTTCACTAGCGGGTCCGTTTCCTCTGGGGCTGAGCGGCTTGTCAGTATGAGGAACTTCGTGGCTCAGGCAGGGCTTTGCCAGTAGAACTGTCAATCATTCGCTCAGAACCTTTGCGTTCCACCCCCAGATCTGTCTCGGAATAGCCCAGCGGACTCAGACCATTCCACAGCAGTGAAGGCCCAGCGCCCACCTGAGGCGTCTGTCCCTTTATGCGGGCGGTCTGCACTAGCCGCTGGAATGGGGAGCCTTCAGGGTCAGGGTCTCACTTGACCGAACGAGTGATGGATGACACAAACGTGACAGAATCTCATGGTAGTGTGGTAGCAAATGTTTTCACTTGAGCTAGACCGGTTAAGGCACTGGCCTTGTGCACCCACCCCAGGGACCACATAGGTTTCTGATTTCTAGGGAAGTTTCTTTCAAGTCACAACAAATGATTATTTCTACTTCCTACTCTTTCACTTAGGCTCACCTTATTGTAAGCTGGCTGGGAGATACAGACGATTCATTTCATGTCGAGGAGAGTGACCGTCAGAGTCTTATCAAGTGCAGTGACGAAACCAGATGAGCTTGCTTTTTGGTCTCGAAGCCTGACTTAAAATTTTAATTATTGAAATAAGTCTCCCGCTGGCTCCCGGCTGAACCCAGATTGCCCAGTGCCTGTTTGGGCGGCGTTCCTCTCTCAGGCCTGGTTTCCGGTCCTCATTTTAAGAACGACAGTGGCTTTGGCACCAGCTCTGGGCTCATGGAAGCTCACATTCCTTTGTGGGGAGGAGGGAGGAAGGGGTGTCAGGGTCACACCTGGCTGTGCTCAGGGTTTCCTCCTGGCTCAGGGTCACTCCTGGAAGCCAGAATCCATGGGTGGCAGTGACGGACGGGAGGGTCCCCCTTGGAATGGAGCGAAGGCAAGGTCCAGAGGGAATGACAGCTATTCCCTGATACTCATGTTTTTGAGAAACAAGGAGCTCGGAAGACGCTTCCTGACCAGAGGCGTTCTCACCTGCTGTGCCATGGCTTCCAGCAAGGTGCCACAATCCATGCTCTCACTTCCGTTTGTGTGCGTCGGGTTTTGGGGGAACACACAGCCACATCCTTTCCTGTTCGCCCAGTGTCTCAGACTGTTTTCTTGCTCCACGTGATTGCGGTAGAGGCTGGAGACAGGTTCCACGATTCGCTGAGAACACGTACGAGCATCTCCTGGGTGGGGCACTGGGTATTCCAGCGGGTAGAGTAACCTCAGGTGCAGTTGTGGGGTGCTTTCTGCTAGTTCACTGAAAGAAGGTTGATTTCCAAGGGAGCTCTGAAAAAAGATTTTTTCTTTTGAAAAAGAAGGGGGGGCAGTGAGCCAAAAAAGTTTGGGACCCTCTGACTTAGTTTAAAAGAAGGATGACTGGGGCCCGAGGTAGCCTACTGCAGGGAGGGTGCTTGGCTTGCACTGGCCCACATGGCTTTGATCTGTGGCCTCAGCACAGAACCAGGAGTACACTCTGAGACAGGCAGGTGTGGCCTCCCCAAAAGAGGAAAGGGGAGGTGGGGAGAGAGAAAGGGAGAGGTCTTTGCACTAAGTAAATGATAATTGGAGGGATGGCCCAGGTTGGGAGATGTGTGCTGAAAGTAGACCAGGAACCAAACATGATGACCTCTCAGTATCTGTATTGTAAATCATAAGGCCCCAAATCAGAGAGTAAGAAAGATTGTACCTGCCACAGAGGCAGGAAGTGGGGTGGGGTGGGGTGGGGGTGGCAGGTGGGATACTGGGAACAATGGTGATGGAAAATGTGCACTGGTGGAGAGATGGGTGCTCGAGCATTGTTCGACTGAATCGCAGTCATGCAAGTTTGTACCTCTCACGGTGATCCAATAAAACTTCTTAAAAAAAGAAAGAAAACAAAAGGGAATGCCCTGCCACAGAGGCAGGGTGGGATGGGGGGATGGGGTGGGTGGGAGGGATACTGGGATCTGTGGTGGTGGGAAATGGGCACTGGTGGAGAGATGGGTATTTGATCATTGTATAATTGAAACCCAAGCACAAAAATGTGTAAGTCTACAACTGTACCTAATGGTGTCTCACTAATAAAAATTTTAAAAAAAATAAAAAAAGAAAGAAAAAAGAGAGAGAGGTCTGTCAGCAAAGGCTGATGGAGGACCCGAAGGTACCCCCAGGGCAGCAGCCCATGGAGAAAAGCACCAAAGCACAGCCTCTGCCGGGGTCAATTGCTATAGGGCCCTGGGCCCCTGCCCTGTTGGCCTGACCCGGAACTAGTTCCCTCTCTCCCCAAAGCTCTGGACCCTGCTGCTGGGGTCAGAACGGGCTTCAGGGCCCCGGGCCTGTGCGTCTGCAGCAGATGTCCCTGGGGGTGGACGGGAGTGGCGTCCCGGCTGATCTCTAAGTGTCCTCCCCGCATCTCCCTGCGCCCTCTCTTTGTGTGTTGGACAGAGCAGCCCGGCAGGGACACGGTGTGCAGGCCCTGTCCAGGAGGCTTCTTCTCTGACATCTCGTCGGCCACTGAAGACTGCAAGCCCTGGACCAAGTAAGGGGAGCCAGCAGCCCCACTCCCCACCCCTCAAGAAAGATTTTCAGTGGGTTTTTGTTTGTCTGCTTGGGGGTCACATCCAGCCGTGCTCAGGGCATCCTTCTGCCTCTGTGCTCAGTATCTGCATGGCAAATCATAGTGCCCCAAATTAGAGAGTAAGAAAGATTGTACCTGCCACAGAGGCAGGGAGTGAGGTAGGGTGGGGGTGGCGGGTGAGAGCCTGGGGGACCAGGAATCAATCCCAGGTCAGCACCATGCAAGGCAAACACCTGACCTGCTCCAGCCCAAATTTTTAGTGTTTTTCAACATCCGACGATTCTCAGTCATGGCAGTGAGAGCGTTTGGGATGCGTCTTCTCACTCTGGCCAGAACTCTCGGGGAATAGCAGTGCTCGCTGTTGTTTGTGGTTTATTCATCCCCGTCCCTGAGATTTGGCTTCTGTATGAAAGCCTTGTCGTCCACACGCCCCAGAAGGCCCGAGTTTCTCTCCTTTTGAAGAGTCTAGAGAGGGGAGTCTTTTTTTTTTGCTTTTTGGGTCACACCTGGCGATGCACAGGGGTTACTCCTGGCGGTGCTCAGGGGACCATATGGGATGCTGGGAATTGAACCCGGGTCGTCCACGTGCAAGGCAAACACCCTACCTGCTGTGCTATCTCTCCAGCCCCGAGAAGGGGAGTCTTTGATAGATTTTTTTCTTTTTATTATTTGTTTAACGTTGGGTTTGGGGGTCACACCTAGCGGGGCCCAGGGCTTAGCCTGGCTCTGTCTGTGTTCAGGGATCACTCCTGGCGGGGGCCAGAGGGACTATATTGGGTGCTGGGGATCAGACCTGGTTGGCTACATGCAAGGCCAGGGCCTTATCTGCTATTGTTCTGACCCCCTTGTTTGTTTGTTTTGCTTTTTGGGTCACACCCGGCACTGCACAGGGGTTACTCCTGGCTCATACACTCAGACATTACTCCTGGCGGTGCTTGGGGGGGCCATATGGGATGCTGGGAATCGAACCCAGGTTGGCCGTGTGCAAGGCAAACATCCTAACCACTGTGCTATCGCTCCAGCCCCTGACCCCCTTGTTTTTAATACAAAACTCAAGCCCTTGACTGCCTCTGGCCCACAGCTGTACCACGCTTGGAGAAACAGTGGATGTTCCCGGCACCAGCCAGTCCGATGCAGTTTGCCATCCTTCTCTGCCTATCGGAAGACCGCCGAATGGTATGTGTAGAAAGAACAGGCTGACCAGTGAGAAGATGGGGGTTCAGGTTCTGGTCCCGTATGAGGCTGACCCTAGTTTGATGCATATAGGGTCCATGAGCACAGAGCCTGGAATAGCCCCTGGGCTCAGCTGCCTTTGGCTCAGCTGATTGGTCACCAGGTCCCAGGCGAGCGAGTACCCTCGGGCCCTCCCCACTCCGCTGTCCTCTGGAAAGCACTGGGGAAAGGGGCTTCCTTGGCCTCTGAGAGCACCATCAGGGCGCAGAGATGGGCTGGGTGGCGGGTCTCTAGGACTGGAGTCTTTCCCTCCTCGCCCGTGAGAGGCCCGAGTTTGATCCCTGCACCCCTGGGTGGTCCCTACACATACTCTCTTAGAACAAAAGCAAAGAGACCGCTCAAGAGAGTCCAGGGCAGGCTTCACTCAGAGTGATGCCAAACAGACCCCCCCCCCCCCCCGTCGGTAGCCGAGGCTGCCAGGCCCAGGGTGCCCCATGACTTCCCTCACAGCCTCTCGCCCCGTTCTCTCCCTCCACAGAGCCCCAGATCTACTTGCCCGGTTTAATTATTCTGCTTCTCTTCACATCTGTGGCGCTCCTGGCCGCCGTGGTCCTGGCTGTTTACTACCGGAAGAAAGGGAAAACGCTCACAGGTACTGTCCATTTCGCTCCCTCTGGCCTCTCCCAGCTGACTCAGCCACCTGTGTGGGAGGAAGGCCAGCAGGCAGCCTCAGGAAGGGGTCCTCTGACCCCTTCCTGTGTGGCTGCCCCTTGTGGCCGGGGATCCCTGGAGATCAGGCACCTGGGGTGGATTTGCGAGTCCCTCAGGCAGTGCTAACTGGATGGCCGTGAATATGGGCAGAGGTGCCGGGGCCTGAACTCACAGTCTCACGCATGCAAGGCTGGTGCTCTGCCTCTGAGCCAGTCTCGGCCCCCAGTACCCTTTCCTTTCTTAAGGACAATAGACACGTTTCTCGTGCTGTGCTTTACAGCAGCATTTTTTAAACGAGGGCTACGGTGGACCCCTGGGCCCTGGCACCAGATGGGCCCCTTGATTCTGCCCAGCCCCGCAGGAACAGAGTGATTTTTGCATCGCGGAGATTTTACACATCAGTATGTTTGTAATGAGGCATTCTCAATGAACATTACTGCAAAAGGAGGGCACCCCCCACCCCACCCCGGGATAGGGGTGCTTGAGCTAAAGTGAAGCCCTGATGTCCTACTTCATTGTTCTCTAGGGAAAAAGAAAGCCTGTGGGGCTGGAGCGATAGCACAGCGGGTAGGGTGTTTGCCTTGCATGAGGCCGACCTGGGTTCGATTCCCAGCATTCCATATGGTCTCCTGAGCACCGCCAGGAGTGACTCCTGAGTGCAGAGCCAGGAGTAACCCCTGTGCATGGCCGGGTGTGACTCAAAAAGCAAAAAAAAAGGGGGGGGGGGAAGCCTGTTCTTATATTTATACCAGCAAAAAAAGTTCTACAGCAGGGTAACGGGTGGTTCCTGGGTAAGCTGTGTTGTTGTATGGATTCTTCCACACCAGATAGAGGGGATGCATTTCATTTTAACAAGCACTTGTAATGCCTCCACTTAAAATGGAGATGACTCGGTCCGGTAAGTGGGGGAGGGCAGAGCTTTGATTGGGTTGTGCACCTGGAAACGGGATGTGAGATTCTAGAAGTGAATGATCCCATCATCACGAAATTTCCCCGAGGGGGCTTTGTGTTCACTTGTTTCCCAGTGATGAGGCCTTCTGACACTGTGTCAGGTCTGATAATGCAATAAACGTGTCTGCCCTGGGGGTTGGGTTTGTTCAAAAGCACCCTCGCCACCTTCCAGAGCAAGAGCTCAGACTTACTCCTGGCTCCATGCTTGGGAGTAACTCTATGTGATGCCGGCAACCAGGTAGGCCTGGCCACATTCATGCTAGTGTCTTAGCCCCTGGACTGTCTCTACAGGCCCCGTGGGGTCTTTTCCTTGAGCTGAGAGCACCCAGCCATGCTTTTCAAGGAGTTTATTTGTTACTCATCTTCCTAGGGCCACACACACGCACACACACACACACACACACACACACACGTACGTGGCCTCCACCTGAGTCCCTTCCCCCGCCCCAGTAGCGAATTCTTTTATATAACACCTCTTCACTTCCTCAGACTGGAGCGCCCGGAGGGGATTGAGGCACCACTCAGAGACCCTCAGCTCATCCTGCTTCTGGGAAGGAAAGCTTTGGCTGCTCCTGCGACCCAGAGGGGAACGGCAGTACCTTGTTTTCCCTTCTGCCTTCCAGTCGGTGCATGCACAGGGCCCGGAGAGTCTGTCCCGAGAGGCCCTGGGCACACCCAGTGCCCTCAGGGAGCAGGGCTGGGGGCAAGGCTGGGCGGGAAGGGCGGGCGCCGCCCAGCGTGTGCCCGCTAGACTCTGCCCCGAGCAGTTGGAATCCACCGGGACTAGAGTGTGCCCGGCCTGGCAGCCTTCCCTCGCCGGCCTCTGGGTTTGCAGATCTGCCAGCAGACCAGTCGGACGCATTTCACACTCTCCAGTAAAGAGGTTTTCACAGCAGTCACGAGTGAGACTTGTAACTGGGCACATCGGACCTTCTGCTGTCATCCGTGGTTGCCTGGTGCTGGCTGTCCGCCTCCAGGGCAAGAGCCACCCAGTCCCCCTGCTGGGCGGCTAACTTCGGTTTTTTGTTTTGCGGCCACACCTGGCATGCTCGGTGCTCAGTCTTGCCTCTGTGCTCTGGACTAACTCATATTTCTGGCTTTTTAGGTTCAGCCCTTCTCTTTGGGTGAGGGTTTTCTGTTGAACAGATGTTCTTAATTATATGATACGTTTCCCCCTTTAGTGTTGTGTCATTTTTTTTCTGTTTTAAGTTAGTGTAAGTTAAGTGTACTCCCAAGATTTTAAGACTTTGTACTGGACGCTGTAGTGATAGTATAGGGGGTAGGGCATTTGCCTTGCACACAGCCGACTCAGTTCAATCCCTGGCATCCCATATCGGTCCCCCGAGCACCGCCAGAAGTAATTCCTGAGTGCAGAGCCAGGAGTAACCCCTGAGCATCACTGGGTGTGACCCAAAAAACAAACAAACAAAAAAAGACTTTGTACTATGCTATAGAATAGAATTTTTGTTTGTTTGGGGGCCACATCCAGCATTGTGCAGGGGTTACTCCTGGCCCTGCACTCAGGAATCACTCCTGGCGGGTTCGAGGGACCATCTGGGATGTCAGGGCTCGAACCCGGGTCAGCCATGTGCAAGGCAAATGCCCTGCTCGCTCCGACCCAAGTGAGTCCAGTTTTTAAAAGGCTCATACGTGTCTTTCAACACTTATTTTAAAAAGTTGTTCCCCCCCAAAAAAATTTTGATTTGGGGGTGATGATCTGTGGGGCACTCAGCGCCCAGCACTGGGCTCACAGCCGGCTGGGACTGAGGACAGACAGCGTGGAAGGGCTGCTTTGCACCTAGCAGGGCGCTTCCTGCTCCTAGCACCGCTGATGGCTCTGGAAGGTTTTCTCCGCGGATGCTCTCATCTCGCTGACACGCGCAGGGGGTGTTTAAAGAGAATCGCCTCTTCCCCACCCCTCACGGAACCGCCGGAGCCCTCACCCCTGCTCTCTCTTCCAGCGAACCTGTGGCACTGGCTCAACGAGGCCTGCAGTCGCTTGAGCGAGAACAAGGTAACAGAGCCATCTGGGAGGACAGCAGCCAGGAGGACGGGGAGGATGGGGACGGAGACCGGGAGGATGGGGACTGGGAGGACGGGGACTAGGAGGAGGGGGACACTCTGGCCCAGTGTTAGTTTCCTCAGAGCAGGACCAGGCCTGGCCTCCCACTTGCTGGCTCTAGAGCCTCGGGGGTTTGCTTGGGTCTTTGGACTTTGAAGGGTGTAGGAAAGTGGATGCCAGCCCCGCCCCCACCCCCAGGCCTGCACTCCTGAGCCCTTGGCTGGCTCACATGCACTCATTTCTGGACCGTTCTAGAGGAAGTGGTGGGCACTGTGTTCTTGAACCCTAATGTAGGTCACTCTGAGTTTCTTCCTTTGTTTGTTTTGGTTTTGGGGGTGGCGGGGGGTTTACCCAGCAGCTCCGGGCTGCTTCTTGGTTCTCTGCCCAGGGATCACTCCGGTGAGCTTGGAGGACCATATGGGGTGCAGGGGATTGAACCTGGCTCTGTCATGCTAGACCAGCACCTTCCCTGCTGGACTATTTCTCCGACCCAGTGTGACTTTCTTCAGAGCAGGACCCGGGTTGCAGAGAGCCAGAGGTGCTGACTTGTGTACAGCTGCAGTGCAAACCTGGCTTAACTCCTGGCCCCACACGAACATTTTTCTTTCTTGTTTGGGTTTTGGGCACAACTGGGCTCCGGCCAGTTGTGCCAGGGCTTCCTCCTGGTTCTGTGCTCAGGGGTCACCTGTGTAGAGTGGAGGGCTAGAACCAGGCCCACCATGAAAGGCAGGCACCCCTCTGGGGTCTCTCAGCCACATGAAGAACATCCCTTCATGTTACCATAGTCACTGAAATCAAGAAATTTATAGTGGTAGTATCCCATCCACATTTCGTAGTAAACTTTCCATCTTTGTCCCATGATGTCCTTTAGGTCTACTTTTTGGATCTATAAAATTTTTTTATTTTTAAATCATAAACTTGTTTCTGAATTCTCCACTTCTAGCCCCAAGACCTCAGACTTCATTCTAATCATCCTTATTTGAATCTTTGTTTTTTTTGGGGGGGGAAGGGCACAGCCAGTGATGCTCAGGGGTTACTCCTGGCTCTGCACTCAGAAATTACTTCTGGTGGTGCTCGGGGGACCACATGGGATGCTGGGGATCGAACCCGGATCGGCCACATGCAAGGCAAACGACCAAGGTGCTGTGTTGTCGCTCCAGCCCCTCTGCCTTACTTGACTCTCGGTTTCACCAAGACCCAAGGGGCCACATGAACCAGCCGCTCCTCTCGTCTGTCTCCTCATTTGCTCAGCTCCAGCATGCCTGAAAGTGGTTTCAGAATTGCTGAACGCCCCCGCCCGCCCCCCATCACCCCAGTAAAATTCACTATGCCGATCGGGTGTCCGCACTAAGTTCAAAATTCACTGGAGCCTAATATTTGATTTGGGTCACCCTCCGAGGTTCTCTGGGCTTACTCCTGGCTCTGTGCTCAGGGATCACTCTTGGCAGTGCTCAGAGAACCAGTGGACGTGCTGTAAATGGATGGGTCAGCCCTGCGCAAGGCAAGCTCCCTACTCTGTGTCATCGCCCCAGCCCCGGGGAGTCCAGGATTGGTTCAGTCACTTGTATTAGCTTTAGACCGCGAGACACCGTGTCGTGTCTCAGTCGTTTGGGTTTCGCTTCTTTGTTCACTGAAGCTGCAGGGGGGCTCATTTGATGGGAGTCACCCCCTCTGGTCCCATCTTTGAGAAGGGCGGTCTTCACGGGAGGACGCCACTGCCGGTATCCGGTGTCCCGAGTGTCCTGAGCCTTCGTCCCCCTCTCCCTCTGCCCTCCAGCAGCCGGCGGCTTCAGACAAGCCCGGGCGAGCGGCCCCCGCAGGACCACCAGGCCAGCTGGAGCTGTGTGAGGGCGTCTTGCTGCTGACGCTGAAGGAGAAGATTCTGCCCGGAGACGCGGCCTGTCCCAGCCGGGGTGGCGGCGTCCGTGGCGGTGCGTGCGTGGCCCCCTGCGGCCGGGGAGAGGAGGCTCCGCTGCTCACGCTGGTGAGCGAGACCGGGGCACCTGCGGCCTGGCAGGTGCCCATGGAAGACGAGTACCCGGACCGGGCCCCGCAGAGCCCAGAGCCCTGGTCGTCCCTGCCCCCCACGCAGCCCGGAAGCCAGGGCGCACCGCCCTTCTCCGAGCCCCTGGAGGTTGGGGAGAATGACAGCTTGAGCCAGTGCTTCACGGGGACGGAGGACCTGACGGGCTCGGACAGCTGCCTCTGCCCCGCGCCCCTGTGCAGGACGGACTGGGGTGGCGAGGGCTGGGGGGAGGCGGCCGGAGCCAGCCCTGTGGACAGCTGTGTGGGCTGCCGGCCCCTCCTGGGCTCCCCCCCGCTGGGCCCCCTGCCCCAGTGTGCCTACGGCATGGGCCTGCCACCCGCAGACGCAGACGCTGCCGATGGGGCCGACTCACGGCTTCCCAGCTCCGAGAGGGCAGGAGGCCCCTCCGCTGACCAGCCCCCAGCCTCTGGTAAGTGTCTCCCAGGCCTCTGCTTGGTAACCCCAAAGGGTTATTCTCGGGGCATGTGGTGCGTCGTCAGAAGTCACCCGGTGCCTTCGGGAAGCAGGATGCTGATACGAGAAGTCCAGGGGTGGCTCCTGCTCTGGGCGGGATTCAACCTTGCGTAGAGGTTGACGGATCGAGCTCACTGCCACTGCTTGGCGGAGACACATCCCATGGCCCTTGGCACTCCTGATGCCTCCGGCTCCGATCCCAGCCTGGAGCCTCTGCCGGGAGAAGGCCGGGTGGCCCTTGGGCGTGCTGCTCAGGTTTTCCGATTGTTGAGTGCAGTGGCCTTCCTGGGTTGAGGTTTGTAGAATGCAGCGGCCTCTCAAGCCTCCCAACTCCCCATACCAACCCCCAGAGAGCTCCCCTCCCTCTCCCCTCCCCCGCCAGAGAGTTCTTGGAAATTTCAGGAAGAGCAACAATGGTTTCGTTACTCTTTTTTTTTGGTGGGGGGAGGGGGTTCCACTCGGGATACTCAGGGGTTACTCATAGTGGCGGTGCTCAGGGGGACCAAATGGGATGCTGGAGAATCGAACCAAGGTCGACCGGGTGCAAGGCAAATGCTCTACCTGTTGTGCTATTGCTCCGGGCCCCGTTTCGTTACTCTTGAGAGACTGATGTTTTACTGCCAGGCATGCTGGTTCTGCAGCAGTCAGGACTCCCTCCCATGGCCCTCTGAGGCGAGGGGGCCCGTGGAGCTGCCTAGGAGACTCTTAGATAGAGCCCAGGAAGGCCACGCGGACCCTACAGGACCCTGCAGTCACCACGGCAGGAGGGCAAATTGCTACAAATCATAACGCTACAGTTTTTGTTTGTTTGGACAGGGGTGAAAACAGGGTTTTTGATGTCGCAACTTGGCCCTGGGACTGGGGATCTGCCTGGCGTCATTTGTTCTCTTCCATTCGTGGTGGACACTGACTCCACAAAAACAGATTAGATGGCAGGACCAGAGAAATAGTACAGGGTTCAGGCTCTTGCGTGGCATGGGGTCGACCCTGGTTGATTTCCCGGCCTGTGGCCCCCTGAGCATCACCAGGAATGATATCTGAGCATCTCCAGGTATGGCCCTCTCAAAAAAAACAAACAGCTATTCATTACTACAGGGACTCAAAAATGTTTTCCATCTCACAGAATACCCCACTGTTGGATGCTGCTTTTTTTTTTCTTTATTTGTATTTTTAAGCTCTACCTGGTAGCGGTCAGGAGTTACTCCTAGTTCATTGCTCAGGGGAGCATGTAGTACTGGGGATCAAACCCAGATCTCCTGCAGGCAAAGGTTGTGCGCCAGCCGGATGAGCTGTGTCTCAGGCCTCTGGGTCCTTTTCCTTTCCTGTCTATGTTTAGACTTAAGTAGTGTAAGTGCTTGACCTGGCCAGACCCGAGCCCTGAGCACTGAGATGCCCGCCCAGCTGCTCACGCTTGACTTGTCCGCTACCTCAATGGACTTGTCTCTGCTTCCTAAGCTTTGTGCTTCTGCCGAAGGACCATGCATTCGCTTGTGGCTCTCCTCGCCGCATCTCTCAGATGGGATGGAGACACGTTTGTGACGTTTGGAATATTCATCAGAGTATGGATGTGAAGGTCTCCAGATATTTACAGAGGTGTTAAAGAATATCCAAGCTTAGATCCAGTTGGCTTGCATTGTCCTTCACGTTCTTGGGCTGTCTTTTCTTCCTAGTGGTCCCAGGGACATGTGGAATGCTAGTTTGGGGGCCGTAGGGCCTGGGGTGGCCTGACTTGGCACTCCCGCTGGGGGGCAGACCAGTTTTTAATTGGTGACACCGGGAAGGTGACGTTTGCCAGTGTGGAAGCCATCTGTGGTTCTTGGAAAGCGTTGGCCTAATCGGAAGGTTCTCTTGCTCCCAAGTGTCATGCAGCCAAGGGCGGCTCTGTGCGCTCCTGGAGAGAGCTAAAACCTCCTCAGTCTGGCTTTCATTATCTTTGATTTCTCCAGCAGGACACATGTAGGCCTGGAGGGAAGGGGAGGATGTGTGTCATCAGTGAGGTGATATTAAGTCGCTAAGCGTTTATGCTGCCTTTTCCGTCTCCGTCTGGTGGGAAGCCGTGCAGCGCATTGGTAGAATCGGCCTACGGTTGCCGGCTCGCAGGCCAACTCCATTTTTGTCTGAGAAGCAGCCGCCAGATTGATTCTGGAGGCCATTCTTGCCATAATTACTTCTCCGTAAAGAGCTTTCTGGTTTCTGGCCCGAATAGGCTTTCTCATTATTGATACATATATATATATATATTTTCACAAAAATGGTTTTATGTCCTATAAAATGCATGAGAGAGGATGGAGGCGGCACGACAGCTCAGAGGCACCAGGCTGTATGAGCTGCGAAAATCCGCTGGGCTCTCAGGACGGGAAGAATGTCGCTTTTCCTGTTGTTATGGTTGGATTTGGGGGCCACACCTGGCGATGCACAGGAGTTACTCCTGGATCAGCATCAAGAATTTCTCCTGGCACCGCTTGGGGACCATATGGGATGCAGGGGATGGAACCCGGGTTGGCCGTGTGCAAGGCAAGTGCCCCATCACCCCCGTAACCATCACTCGGACCCTGAGGTAGCATTTTGAGTTGGCCTTTGGAGAGACTTTTTTTCAGGAGCTCCTCAAGGCAACTCAAGTTGCTGATTCTCAGCCAACAGTGCCCTGCGGGGCCCAAGGATGCAGCACTGCTCGGACCCTGGGATGCTGGGCACACCCAGGTTACCCTGTGTGGCTGGGGAACCTCCAGGGCCACACCCAGTGCTGGGGCCTCTCCAGAGCTGCCTCCAGTGGTGCTCAGTGGTGCATTGAGCAAGAGAAATGATGGGGTTGGAGAGGCAGGACGGAGGAAGGTGCGGGCCTGTGCACAGCCGACCCGGCTTGGATCCCCAGCGCCACCTGTGGTCCCCTGGGTGCTGCCAGGATGATCCCAGGGCACAGGAAGTGATGTCTGGATCGGTGACAGTGATTGGGGACCTCCCCAGCCAGGAAGAGGGGCGCCTTTGCACTTCACAACCTCCGGAAGAGAACCCAGGTCTTCCGAGTGACTCTCTGGGGCTCCTAGTCCAGTAGCCCGTGGAGGGGTCTGGGAGGGGGCCCAGGGGGTGGAGGAGCACTTGACTAGAAGCTATGAGACTTGGAGCTCCCTGCCGGGCAGAACCTGAGGACAGCCTGGAGACCCCGCAGTACCGCCAGGCTCAGCGATGGGGCTGCCCCTAGGTAAAAATAATGACACGCCGAGGCGATCTGGGCAATGCTCGTCACTCTCAGAAGCACAGGAGGAGGAGAGGTGTCAGCAGGGAGGGGGCGTGTGTGTGGTTCCAGCCCCGCGGTCCTGTGGCTAAGGGAAGGGGGTTCCTTTGGCGGCAGCCAAAAAAAGCTGGGGGTTGCAGTGTCCCTGGGCCGGGGAAAGTATCTCGGGCCAAAGAAAGAACCTGCTTCCTCCTCACTGTGCAGTAGCTGGCGGTCACCTGTCTGCGGCTGCTGAGTTGGGGGGTGGGGGTGAGGTGGGGGCGGGGACACCCAGGGCTCTCCCACGCTGGCCTCCTGTTTTTTGCCTTCCCTTCCACTGAGGATCCTGGAGCACAGAATCCTGGGGTTTGGGGGAAGATTTCAGGGGCTCTGCCCTCTGCAGGGAGCATCACACGACCCTTTGGGCATCCATGACCTCTAAGCCTTTGAGAGCCAAGTGGTCCAGGCCTGCCCCTGACAGCCCGCTGCCCGCCGGCCCGGACCCAGGCCAGCACCTGCAGTGGAAAGGTGTCCTGGGTGTCCTCTGTCCTGCCACCGCATCGACCCCGCTCCCCCTGCCAATGCCAGCTGCCCTTCCCCACCGCTGTCCCCCTGTCCCAGGCTGCAGGGTGGGTGTGGTCCTCAGAGGCCTCCTTCACCTGCAGCCCTTGCCCACGGCCACCGCTCAGCCACGGCCATCAGGAGCCATTCCATGGCCACACCGCCTCCTTCTCCTCTCCCTCCTCCTCCTTCCCCTCTTCCCCCTTGGCCCCCTCCCCCTTTCGTCCTACTCTTCCTCCTCCTCTCCCTCATCCTCCCCCTCCTCCCATACTCCTTCCCCTCCTCTTCCTCCCCCTGCACCCCTTCTCCTTCCCTCCTCCTCTTCTTCCTCCTTCTCCTCTTCCCTTCCCTTCCCTCTCCTCCTTCCCCTCCTCCTCCTTCACCCCTTCCTCCTCCTCTTCCTCCCCCTCCTCCTCCGCCTCCTCCCGCTCCTCCCCTCTGAGAGGCAGCTCCATCCCATAGGCTAAGCCGTCCAAGTTCCTGGGCTACTCAGGCCTCCCCCACCGGCCCTGGCCCTGGAGCAGCAGGAGACCAAGCAGCCTGCTTCTGTCCGACCTGGACATCCTGGGCAGAAGCAGAGGTGACAGCAGTGCCCGTGAGCCGCCCACCCGGCTGGCGCGCATAGGCCGAGCCCAGTCCCTGGGCATGCCAAGGGCCCTGGAGGACACGGAATTGGGGGACCCCATTTCCCTGCCTTGCTCCAGATTCTGCCCTGCCCGAAATGCCGGTTCCTCACCATCCACTTCCCTCCTCAGCAGGCAGCTGAAGGTCATCTCACCCCACTGTCACCTGTCTCTGCCCCCAGCAATAAACAGTGCCCCCTCCCCCCTTGCTTCTCTCTCTCCTGTGCGAAAGCCACCTGATAACGGGGAGGGGGGGCGGGAGGGTCATTGTCAGTTCAGTCTGGGTGGGCCACACCCCACAGTGCTGGGGGTTCTCAGAGTGAGCTTCAGGCAAAGCAAGCATCTCACCTTCTGGGTTCCTCGGCCCCTTTAGCTCAGTCTTGGAAGCACAGCGTTAGCTCACTGACGTCATAGATTCAAAATGCTTTTTTCTGTTCTTTGCAAGAGGCCGATGTTCACTGGTGCTAAAAGGCAAGGTATTATTTTAAGTATACGAGGAATCCGTTTTCTCTAGACCTGGTTCAGTCCAGCTCTGCTTGCCCGCCCTTTCCTGACGGGGCTCAGG